GCAATTTTTCAGCTCTTTTAATATGTTGAATCATTTGTTTGTTTAACATTATTTTAAAAACAGATTCCAATTTATATTGTGTTTCAAGATGAACGAGGAAAAAATCTTCAGTGCTCTTCAAATCTCAACCTATTTACTTTCTGTAATTACCCACCCTTGGTCCCCCATCAAATACTTTATCATACTATTATTGTGAACTTGTCTGTGTGTAACTGTCAGGAAACCTAAGATGAACAAACAAGCATCTCTTAGGTCACCTGGCCATGGGTTTATAAAAATAGTAGAATTGTGTATAGCAAGGAATGATAAGCTATGGTTCACTGGCCAAATCTTACTCACCACCTGTTTCTGTAAGGATCATGTACTAAGAAGAGTTTCTACATTTTTGAATAGTTGGAAAGAAATAAAAAGAAGAAAAAAGGAATATTTCACAGCATGTGAAAATTATATGAAATGTAAATGTCACTGTCCATAAATGAATAAAGTTTTATTGGAACACAGCCACGCTCATTAATTTACATATCATCTATAGCTGCTTTCATTCTATTTTGAGAGATACTACTTGCAACAAAGATTTATTTGATGCTTTTATTGCTCTTCAGTGCTGTCCAGTAACCCATAAATCTCAGGGATGTGATTATAACTCCACAGTGTTTCAAGTGCCATGCATATCACTGTACAGCAACATTTTATTTTAATTATGAGTGCAATAGCCATCATGTCAAAAAACAACAAAAAATATAGTGGGATCCAAATACTACATTTGGAATACTACAAAATACTTTCCAAATACTACATTTGGAAAGCACAGTGGAATATGGATTACTTTGTTATTAAATTAGATAGGAAAGCATTGTGTTCTAAGTGCCATGACACTACAACTGTGCTAAAAGGATACAGTACAACAGAGAAAACACACAACATTCTCAACTGCAAGAAAACAGTGCCCTGAAAAATTAGTTAAAACAAAACAGCTCATCACAGCATGATTTCTTTATAAAAAGAAAAAAATGAAAATAAGACTACAACCAAAGGAACTCTCCAAGTGACTCATTTATTAACCATGAAAGGAAAGACATTTATTGATGGTGGATTAATCAAATTATCTTTGATTGTAGTAGCAGTTGAAATGTGTCCAGAGAAAGCAGTTAAAGACTATTAGCCATTTGGTGACAATGGTTTCTTGAAGAGTTGAGGCCATTGGGAGCATTGGCAATAATCAATTTAAAAATAATGCAAATGATTTCTAGTAGTTTTTCTTAACTCTTTATAAGTCAACAGATGTTACCAATACAGCACAATTGTATTTGACAAGTCAATGCTGACTTTGAATTAAATGGAGAATTAGCTTCTACAAACAGTTTGTGTGAAAAAACTATGGGCAAAAATATTTTCAAAGAAAATGAGGAAACAGTAATTCAGTACAACCTGAAGTGGAATCTGCTAAGATGTGTTACAGTGATTCATAGTAAAAATATGTGTGGAGTAGAAAAAAACCTTTCTGGACAAATTTACAAAGGTTATAAAAATGTAAAGTATTTAAAGCCTGTGTGTTCTTCTAATATTCAACAGAAGTTACTCTGTGGAAAATATTTGGGTCTTTTATGTATTATTGAACCAGTTGTGTTAAAGGGGAATTTCATTAATTCTTCTGGACTTAACCATTGCCTGTTTTCTGAACTTTTGTCAAAAATAGAAGCTGAATATACTGACTTGACCTACTGACCACATAGCAGTTAGCTTAACAGTAGTAAGTCATCTGTGACTTTTTGAGCTCAGCGTTAAGACTGATTTTTTTTTTCCTAATGAGAATAGCTTCAACCACTATTATTGAACAAGGGATAACCTTGGAAACTAGCTTTTGCTGTAGACTTCACAATGTTTCTTAATGAATTCAACCAAAATTACAAAGCAAAACAATGGCTAAATGCAGAACACTGTGGTAAAGTCATTTTGATGACAATGTTTAAACAACAAGTAACATCAAACTGCTTTAAAACTTTCTGTGTTGTCAAAAATTAAAACAAAAAGTGAAATCTCCATCCCTACACAAATTTTCAATGAACACGTTTTCCAGGTTAAAACTACAGTGCCAACAATGTTTTTCAGATCTCAATACAGCACAAAAGAAATTTTTAAATGTCAAAATCTTTTTAACTGTGCAATTGAGGAGCTTCCATCTAACCTTCAACTGGAATTGATTAATCTGCAATATAATGATGTGCTAAACGGCAAACATCAAGAGGAGATTTAATAGAATTCCATAAATGCCTTCTGAGCAGTGAAAATGCTTAATAAAATCTCATGCTCATGGATTGATATCAGTATTTGGCAGTACCTTCCTTTGAGAGTTTTAGCCAACTGTGAAAGTTAGCCAACTGCACAGTTCAGATGGCATGTAGTCAACAGAAGACTATCCTTACTTCTGACATGAATTGAAATTTTGGGGGAGCCCCCAAATTATTAGGGTCAATAATGTACTGGAAGGACTACAAAACTCTCTGAACAGTGTTATGCTCAGTTACCATTTGTTACTGGAAAAGGATACAGATTTAATTCAGCTAAGGAAAAAAAGTGCATGGAAAAAGAGTCCAGAGGCGTGCCAAACATTTTGGTTGTCCTCTCCACATGTTGCCAGAACATGTTACTTTCCTGGCATCAATGTGTGGCAGTATGTATGGAGTACTGCCAATCAGGAAAGCTCACCCAAACCTTGTCGTCCTGAGTTTTTATCAGGGGCTCTATCAAGTAGACGTGATTGATTGATTGCCCACATGATTGATCTCAACCTCCAGGTCAACTGATAGATACCCTGTGGCCCAATGCCCCCATCTATATAACACTGTTGGTCATTCTGGCATAGTCAGCTCCCACCATAAATCATATTTTTAGACGTCCAGTGTGACCCAAGTTCCACAGGCAAGCCATGACATTCCAAGGGCCTAGATATCACCTCCCAGTACCTGAGAACAAGCACAAGACCTTTTTGTGCAAGGTTAATTCTTAATTACACACCTCCTGTGGAGAAAGGCATTGTCAAAGATGGAACATGTAAAATTTCATTACAGATCAGTATTAACAGGTGAACATTTGCAATCAATTTTGATGAAAAGGAACTCTTATCTTTGAACTCCAATGAAATGTAATGTGATCTCCTCTAAAATTTATTTCCTCATTACTAGACCTGTATCACAAATGAATATATTCAATTATATCAAATTTTGAATTTTATCAACAAAAATTCTAGAAACTTGATTTTTCTTATATACTTATAAGTACCTACATCATAGCCTTGATTTTGCCTTTTGGCCTACAAAGACTGAAATATTTATCTGATTTTTTTTATAGAAAAAGTTCACCAACCTTTGATCTATGGTCCAATTTGTAATATTGCTGTGATGGTTCGTTTTATGAGTCAACTTGGTACAACTACAGACTAATTATTCAATCAAACACCAATCTAGGTGTTGCTTCAGAAGTATTTTGTAGATATAATTAACTTCTACAATCATCTGCAATCAGTTGAATTTCAATGAAGGAGATTCTTCTCAATAATCTGAGTAGACTTGATCCAATCAATTGAAAGGCCTTAACCGAGCTTCCCTTGAAAAAGAAGAAATTCCCATCTATGGGCAGCAGCTTCAGCTTCTGCCTGAGAATATCCAGCCTGTGCTTCCTGCTGGCCTGCCCTGTGGGTTTTAAACTTGCCTAGCCAGGCTCACGTTCACATAAGCCAATTCCTTGCAATAAATCAATCTTCCTCTTCCTCTCCTTTTCCCCCTCCCTCTCCCTCTCTCTCCATATATACAGAGGGTGCCAAAAAAAAAATGTATACACATTTTAAGAAAGGAAAACTGTCTTAAAATTGTAATACTCAATATATACTTATAATAACAGATGAATACAAGTCATGTTTGACTTCTGCAATTACAAGAGGTGCTCAAAGTGGTTACCATCAGCACCCAGACACTTCTGATTACGGTGAATTACAGCTTGAGCAACGTTGACCAAAGTGTCCACTTGTATACATTTTTGTGTGTATATATATACATATACACCTGCCTACAGCTGTGATACTGCCTAATCTATCTTGGCTCGCTAGGGTAAGGCAGAAATGGGATAGTGAGAGTTATGAACAAAGAAAGAAAATTCAGGAAGATTTTAATTCAGTCCTATCACTGTGGATGAAAGAGACATTTTTGTTTCTTGATAGAATCTGTTCCCAGAGCATAAAAGAGACTTTTTAAAGAAACGTCCCCATTAGCCTAACTCTAGGACTCTTTTCCTGGGGTCACTTGTTGGCTGTTGCACCCCTGACCTTCTGGCTTTGTTGGTAAATCCTGTGCTTTTGTATTTTTAAAGAAGAGTTTTTTTGAGCTTTTATCAGATTTTTAAGTGGGTCTGTGGCACCAAAAGGAGAAAAACCACAAATGACCTCCGCCCCAGTGGGTATTTAGCTCTTATGTGTCACCTACTGCATACATCATGTCCTCTGATCCTCACAGTAACTCTGTGTCTGCTGTATACATCGTCTTCTCTAATCTTCACAATAATCTCATGAAGTAGGTAATAGTATTCCGTTTTACAGATGAGAATACTGAATCTTAGAAAAATGAAGTCATTTGTCCTGATTCATAGCTGATAAGCAGCAGGGTCTGGATTTGAACCCACATCCGACGCCAAAGCTTGTGCTGTGGGGTTGGGAGGCAGGTCTGTTCAGTCACTAGGCCCAGTTAACTTCTTGCGCTTGTGGCAGTGGCCTGGGTGGCCTCAGGTACCTGCTTGGCCTCTGCCCACTTAACTGGGAAGCAGACAAGTCAGGGGTGGCCCCAAGTTTTTCGGGGGGGGGGTGCGGGGAGAGCCTTCTGACCTAGCCACTAGCCTTTGCATGTGTCCCCGCTCCTCAGGAGGGAGGAGGAAGAGCGGGGTGCCCTGGGGAGGGGAGGCGGGCCCTGAGAGGGAGTTTGAAAAGAGGAAGGAAGTGGGGCCCGGCAAAGCGCCTAGCCACCCCCTTGCTGCTTCCCCGCAGGACGACCTACGAGCCCGAAGGCCCCCGGCCCAGCCATGGCTCCCTGGCGCAAAACTGACAAGGAGCGGCACGGTGTGGGTGAGTGCAGGCTTGGGGTCCGCAACAGGGAGGAGGGCAGGTGGCCGGAGACCCGCGCTGCACGCAGGAAGATGCTGCAGATGGCAGCGCGGGTGCTGGCAGGGCATGCTGACTCAAGGTCTGCGGGCGCAGTGGCTCTCAGCTTGCTGCGGGCCCACTGGGCGGCGAAGAAGAGGCAGGGGGAGAGGAAGGTGGGCACCGCGCCCAGCAGGCTGCGCCCAGCCCACACCCTCTCTCTCCCTCCACCACCTGCTGACCTCTCTGCCGAAGGCTATGCATTTCCCAGGCAGTGTCCAGCCCAGCACTTGGCAGCTCAGCTCTCTGCCAGGCTCAGAATTCCAAAGAGTGGACCCCATTGCCCTGCCTGGAGAACCGGCCTTGGAGTGTAGAGGGAACACTGCTTTCTGGCCTGGCCTGCCCTGCCCTGGCCCAGCACGCGTCCCTCTACCTCTGTTCAAAGCCTACACCCATCTGCTGTTCCCCTGCCTGCTCCTCCTGGGTCAGGTGACCTGATTTAGCCAAGTGTTGGTCCAGATGGCTGTGCAGGCTGGGGGTGTGGGGCTGGAGGGCAGGGATCCTTCACTCAGCCCTGGAGAGCCTGGGGGAGAAAGGCTCCCACCAGGTTTTCTGGGGATATCCAAGAAGCCAGCCTTATCAGTTTCAGCCATCTAAGCTCCCAGAGGCCTCTGCCTGTAGCTCAGGGCGGAAATGGTGGCTGGGGGAAGGGAGCGTCAGGTACTGAGACTCTTTCTACTAAGTGGCATCCGTGGTGCAATCCCTGTAGACTCATTGTAGTTTCGTGAATTTAAAAACTGCTCTATGGCTTGCTACACAGGCAGATACCAGACACCACCCACAGAGATGAGGGTCGAGCAGGTCAGATGGAGAACCCAAGTGCCAAGAGTGATGAGAGGCAGGGGCTTCCCAGGCCACTGTTGGAGGAACACTGCCCTGGAGAGCTCAACATTTATCCATTCACTTACTGGACTCTAGGCACTGTTTCAAGACAAATAGTCTCCATCCAGAGAACAAATAATAATCAAAACCCTCAAGGGACTCAATTTTCCCATTTATAAAATGGGAAGTTTGAACTACTGGGTTGTTGGAAAACTCATGACGTATTTTTCTATGTTTTTCGCTGTAAAACTGCGTCATGATTCCGACAACCCAATAAATGCAATAAGGACCATTTTTTACTAATTCTGGCCCTTCCAGCTGGGGGTATCAGGCTGAAACTCCTCTCAGGGGAAGATGGGGACTGTGAAATGGGGCAGGTCATTGTAGGTGGAGGGACCAGTGTGCTTTAGGACATGAAAGCTGGACATGAATGGCGGATCCACGAAAGAAGAGCGGTTGCTCCACTGCCTAGAAGGGAAGATGCATTGAAGGGAATGATTGTGCTCAAAGTAAGCTGGAGCCACATTTTGGAAGCCTATGAATGCCCGGCTAAAATGCTGAGACCTTTTCCATCTAGGCAGTGGGGAGCCATAGAGGGCTTCTGAGCAGGGGAGGGGCATGAACAGATTTGTCCTGAAGCCAGAGTGGAGGGAGGCTGATGGACAGAACAGCAAAGGTGCCTGGATGGCAGACAAGGGACAGGATCGGTGGTCCGGGGTAACTAGGGCAGTTGATGGGGAGACTGGGTGTGGTGGAAGAGTCCCAGCCTCCGTCCCAAGGTTGCAGTGCGTGCCAGCTGTGTAGGCCCTGTGCTGTGGGGTGACGGTCATGGGCGCTGGTGCCTGACTGCCTGTTCTCGGGTTCCAGCCTCCAACACTTTTCAGCCCTGTGACCTACACAAGCTACTCTCTCTAGGCCTCAGTTTCCTTTTCTGTATAATGGGGATAATAACAGCACCTGCCTCCCAGGGTTAATCTGCATAAAGTGCCAAGAATGACAATTGCACAAAGTAATCCTCAGTAAATGTTAGTAATTATTATGTTTAGACTTTGGCCTCTGCATGAGGACCCAGTTGAGGACCTGTCGTCATAGGATGGGGCCACAGGGTGGAGTAGGGTTCTCACCCTCCCTAACAGGAAGTCCCACCTATGTGCTCAGAGTACAGGAACTCTGTCATCTGTCAGGCCCCAGATCTGAAGGTTCTTGATCTGATGTATAGACATTGTTTATGCCTACTTACGAGAATTCTATTGTATGGGGGATCAGAAGGCTTGTGATTCTTTAGGGAGCTAGAGAGCTCTTGGCAGGTGACTGCTCATCAAAGGGATCTCTCTTCTCCGCAGATGAATGTCATAGCTAAGGTAACCTCCAAGCCTCACCTCTAGGCTCTACCGGGTAGATAGAAGGAAAAGGCAGGGCTTAGGTGATGATGAGACGGGGGACTGGAGTCATTCAGCAGAAAGAACAGTGACCTGAGAGGAAGGAGTCTAGGTTCGAGCTCTGACACCATCCCTATTTGCAGAGAGCTCTGTGCTCTAATTTTCTCATCGTAAGTCTAGGTATTAATACTTTTCTATTTCAAAGTGTTCTTTTATGACGAGCTTTGAGATAATGACTATGGGGGTTTGGAGGAAGACAAAGAGCTAGAGCCACGGAAAGGAGGAGGGAGTTCTCGGACTATCTCAGGAGTCCCGGCCAGACCTAACACAGGCTCTGCCTTCCCGCTCGGCTTCCTCGCGTCAGCGCGGGGGCCATTTAGCCAGCCTTCCTCTGGCCGAATTGATGAGGGCTGCTGGTGTCTGTTTGTCCGGGAGGCTGGTTTCACAGGAGGCCACTTCCTCACCAGAACTTCTTGGCTCCTTGCTCACCTCACTGGCTGGTGGGCAGCTAGAGTGACCTTCATGGAGATTCCTGGCCAGGTTATTTTTTCCTTTCTTGATGGAGCTTAACAAGTGATCCATTTGAGTTCCAGAGAGGACCCTCGGGCAGAAGTGGGATAGGAGTTTCCATGGACAAGACAGTATGGCTATGAGTAAGAAAAAAGTACAGCCCTGGCCTTGAAGAGGTACATGTAAGGCTAGAAGCTTGGCCTATGAAGCCAGGCCTGTTCCCTCATCTATGAAATGGAGGTAATAATAATATGGGTCTCATGAGATGGTTACGAAGATTGGTTTTTTGTTTGTTTGTTTGTTTGCTTGTTTTTTTAGCTGAGCCATCCTGCCACCTGTTGGCAGCTCAGCGGCAGCTCAGCTCGGGCCGTGAATCAAACCGGGGGCCCTGTTGCTCAGAGCTCAAACTCTTGAGCGAGCTCTTAACCAACTGAGCCACTCAGCTGGCCCTGGTTACGAAGATTGAATGCATGAAAATCACTTAGTAATTTGGCCGTCTCAATGAAAGTGAGTGACTGAGGTCAAGGGGGTTACCAAATAGTTGTGGAACCGGGTGAGACACAGGGTAACGCACCCTAATGCCAGGTTCAGGACAGCCATGCCTCACAAGAGTGCAACATTTTATGGTTTACAGGCTTTGCAAACATAGATAAAGGGTCTTTGCCACATCTTGACTGGGGAAGAGGGATGAATCTGAGACCACCCTGTGGTCCAGGGATGCGAGTAGTGCTTTTGCAGCCCAGGACCCTGGACAGACCTAGTCTTTGCCGAGATGGACAACTATGTAGTGGGCAATGAATGCTTGCGTTCCTTGCAGCACAGGCTCTTATTAAAGGAAACAAAATCCACTCAAACTAGTTCAATAAACAGGTATGTGGTGTGTATGTGTATGGAAAGGCCTGAACTGAGGCTGCCCTGGAAACCTCTGTCTCTCTTTTCATGGCTTCCCGACTTCTCTAAACATGCCAGCTCCCTTCTCCTTTCTCTCCTTGCCAACTAACTCCTTCTAATTCTGTGGCTCCTTACTAACTTTGATATTCTGATAACACCATAACCGCTGGCCCCAGCATGCCACCTGCTCCAACCTTGCGTGACTTTGCAGTTCCAGCATTCACTCAATCTTTCTGTTTTCATTTGTCAAAGTCCTCAGAGGGAAGATCCCACTGACACCTTTTCAAAAAAGGCCACCCACGTCAGAGGGAGGTCATCGCCAGCCTAAGAATAGGTGCCACCCTGATCAGGGCACTGCCACAGCCTGGTCCAATACCTTGTGGTTATGGGGTGGGGTCACCAGGGTTACCACTCATCTAGCATGAGCTGTGGGGGGGACAGATTCTTTGACTAGGAGGCCTAAGTAGAACACGTATCCCAAAACAGCAGGACAGAACTCCTCTACAGAGGGACCAGTTTCTGCTACTCCTGTTCCAAAGGCAGCATTTAAAGAGGAGGGATAGAGAGAGAGAGCACCATTCACTCACCAAGTTGTTCACTTGTTCACTCTTCCCTCATTCATTTCTTAAATATTTGCTGGACATTTCCTATGTGCTAGGCACTGCGCTAGGCACCGAGATTACCATAACGAGGCCAATGTGGTCCCTACCCTTTTGGAGCTTATGGCCTAGTGTGGAAGACAAAAAAGAATTCCATGGACAATTCAATAACCTTATTGTGATATGTTATTGTAATAGAGGAGCGTTGTTCCATGAATGAGAATATTGGAGGAAGGGTCTTAAATTGAATGGTCTGAGAAGACCTCTGAGGAGCAACGTGGGAAAGAAATCCGAAGGACAGGCTTGGAGGGATCTTAGTACACGCGTCTTGGTGTGGAGGTCAACTGCATCTTTGCACTGGTCCCCAGAAATTAGTCCAGTGCAACAAAAACATGTGGATCGGAATCTAATCCTTCCTCCCGCCCATTTGTAGGCACCCGGGCCCCCTCCTCTCCAATGCTCCGCAGCTTGTTAGGCGTGCCCGCGAGGCTGGCTGTTTGAGTTCACATTAGGAGATTGTCCGAACCCCGAGGCTCACGGGAGCCTCATTAGTCAGTGGGCGTCTCGTCCCCACCACAGCGCTTGTGTTTGAATGGGCCTTGACAGACTGTGTTAGGTAAACTCTGCTTCCTCCTGACATCAGCATCCTTATGTTGCTACTGTATTTTGAGACAGGCAATGTAGCCGCCGTAATATTCTGCTGATTGCTGGACCTTTGGACTTG